GACCCTGCTGGGGCTGTGCCCGTGGGGACATTAAACAGGGTCAATAGTGGTGAGGCACCATCTCCTGCTCCAGATTTAGCAAACCCCACGGCCCTCGGTTGTCATGACGGGGTGCAGGCTGCCGTTGGAAGGGCAGGCCAAATTCCCCGGTCCCATCTGTTTCTTACCCATCTCCATTTGACATTCTTAGCTCTTCAGGTATTTTACCTTAGCCACTATGAAAGGACTGCACGAATATACATCATCTGAAGTGTTCTTTGGTATTTTATTCAGTGATTAGTTTTAAAATGAAAAAAACCCCCACATGTAGATGATGTAAATAAAGCGGAAAATCATTATTGTTGTCTGTTGAGGTACTGTTAGGAGCAAGTTATACTGCATTTTGCAAGAAGCCTTTGAATCACTGTAAAATTAAAAAAAACAAACACTAAAAGAAACAGTCCATTCAATAACTAGCATTCATTTGCAAGATAGGTGAAATAGTCTTTAATACACATATAAAAATACTGAGCAACTGTACAAAGCCCCAGTCTGAACTCAAACTTAATTTCATTCGGGTACAGCTACGGAGGGCCTGCAACCAGCGGACGCCCCGCTGCTTACAAGGGAAACCCATTCCCGCCAGGCACCCCAGGGAGCCAATTTCTCCCTCGAGTCTGGCGCACAGCATTTCAGGAGTGACACTTGAAGGGAAACGGCCTCTCCCGAGCGGTGGCTCGGCTCGGCAAGCGGAGAGCTCAGCAGAGCCCACCTCCAGAGAGGCAGGAGCCCCTGTGCCTGGCCCCGCTCCGGCTACGCACTCTCATCAACGGCAAACCGGCCCTAATCCCTCAAAAAAATAAACAATGCATCAATAAAGAAAATTCTAGTCTCAGCCTGTCCCCAGAAACCACAAGCCAACCCCATCAATTCCTGCCTCGTAACAGGGCGATTTGATATTTCTCTGGGCACGCAAGATTGTTGACTTTCCGCAGCAGACACAGCTCTGCAAAACCAAAACACCCCGGGAGGAAGCTGTAGCCCTTCCTCAGCTAGAGGAGAGTTAAGCTCATTGTAGCAACATGTTCTAAGCCGTTACTAAATCAAATTTACTTTTTACTTTCTGATGTGAGTTTTTGATAAATTCCCTTGTTAAGAGTGATTTTGGATCAGACTCACCCCTGCCCTGGAATGCAGGTATTGGCTTTACCCCAGGGTAGTTCACCTAATGAAGTAATGCTCAATGTAGAGTCATTGACCTGGAGAAATGCATTCTGCTGTGTAGGTCTAAGACATATGGAGTTTGAGACGACACCAGCACATCACAAATACTTCTGCTGTTCCACAAAGCCACCGTGCCCCAAATCTAGTCATTCTGAGTATGAGCCACATCAAGATCCACACCAACCATGCCAGTATCTCTGACAAAGGCAGTATTTTAAAATCTAGACTTTGCATTTTTGTGGGACCGTTATGATCTTTGAATAGGTAAGCCCACACATATCCAGCACTTGTAACACACTCTGCCACAATGTTTCTGAAGTTTTTTCAGAATAGATCTCTTTGCTGTGATCTTGAGTAGTTTTAACCACCTGAGCTCTTGGGCAGACCCATGAGGATTCGTAAGAGAACTGTAGTCCATGCATAGGTGGATCCATTGCATATTATTAGATAGGTCTGTTATGGTCTTCCTGAGCACTTACCAAAGCTTAGAACCAGACTTCTCCATCTATCCCACCTTGCCTCAAAGGGTGATTCATCAATCAAAGAAATGAGCTCATATGTTGCATCTGGCTAAATGTATAGTCCAAAAATAACTGCTTTCCACACTAAACTCCAAACACACGTGCAAGGTACCTGCATTTCTCTACATTTTCTACACATTACAAAAAATAATTAAAAAATTAGAAGTGATGAAAAAAGCAGAAACAGCTTTGGAAATGAGGCAGGTTCTCCTTTCCACTGAAGAAAGTAGGTGATAGCATTACCCGTTCAGCGACGGCACCGGTTGCTAAGGCAGCTCTCAGAGAGACCTGTAAAGGAATGCTCGTTCCATGCACGGTCCCAGCTGGCAGCAGCTTAATTGCCGATGGAGTAAGTGTTGGTTCTGATCAAGGTGTTATGTCGAGAACTGTAAGACATATCTTCGTAGACTGCATTTAGTTTTCTTTTCTGGAAATATTTCTTCATCTGCAAAACAAAGTAAACTGCCGTTCAGAACAGAGCTTGAAAAAGCCCTAACCAAGGAGGAAGTGAATTTACATCTTAGGAGTCCGTCTGTTTGAAGTGGAAATGTACTTTTAAAATTTCTCTCATAACCCAACGGGGTCTTAGAAGATTAGGTAGAAATTGTCCTCACATTTAATATATTTAACCTAGTTACTTAACTTTCTATAGTCAGCCTGATACAATTTCACTAAAAGTTCCTTTAAGAGCTGGGTGTAACTGCGGCCCCAACATAAAAAATGCTTATCCTTAGTTTGTTACTGACAACACAAGAGACTACTTTCCACAGGGCCACTTGGCTTTGCCAGGATGATGTCATATTACTGGTTTTTAGCAGTACTGAAGCCATATGCGGAGGGATGAGATAGGAGCCTGGCCTGTGAATCATACTCGGTTAATTTTGAGTAAACTTTATGGAGCAGAAGGATCTATCAGACACAGATAATTTCTGGGCACTTTCTGCAGAATATATAGTAAAATATATATGCAGTAAATAAACCCAAGAAAGGAAAATTTTCTTGGTCACTTTTTTTTCTAGGACAGGGCAAAATTGTTCTCCTACAGCTGCTTTCAGACCTTAGGCTATTTTATGACTTCCTGTTGTCCTTTTGTCCCCCTCCAAACATTCTCTTACATCTATTACAAGATTGCTATATACAGGTCCATTCCCAATCGGGGGGAAAAAAAAAAGGAGAAAAAAAAAAAGGAAAAAAAAAAGGAAAAAAAAAAGAAAAAAAGGAAAAAAAAGAAAAAAGGAAAAAAAAGGAAAAAAGGAAAAAAAAGAAAAAAGGAAAAAAAAAGCAGCAAAACAGAATAGCAAGGTGCTCTGTTCAGGGAAATACATACAATGTATGGCTGTGGTGTCGACTGCAAGGCTTACCTGAGGTTTGTTATCAAAAGGCAAACAATATCTCATTTGCTAAGAGTTACTGAAACATAAGCAGACACAGTCTTCACCGCCAAGAGTTGGCAGCTGGGAGACATTAAACAAGGGCGAAGAGGAGACAATAGAAAGCCATGACTCCTTAGGCGTATCAAATGCTTGCTTGACTCAGTCACTATTTACAAATAATATCAAAGGCACCTATTCACTCAACCCAGACTCAGTTTTGCTTTGGTGTGGTAACAGCAAACTTACATCGATGTGATACAAGGCGCAGCACACCAGCACAGAAAACAGTAGCGCTGCCACGACGGTAAGACCATAGATGCCCCAGGAACTCTTACTGCAGGCTGTCTGCTCCAGTTCTGCATGTGAAATTATATTATTATTATTAATATGAAGAGGTAGAATTCTGTTTTTGTTATAAAAACATTATTTACTGGCCAGCAAGAAATCGGATCACGCTGTGTATTAGCATTCTCCCTGGCATTCCCTGTGCTCCTCTAGAGGCTGGTGACCAGCGCAGGCGGCACGTGAAGAGTCAGCGAGGAGCACTCTACAAAGGCAGCACCTTCCACACCACTGATCAGAGTAGGGCCACGCGCTCAGAACGGAAACAGAAGATGATTTGCTACCGTATTACAGCAGAACTGAGGGCTCGGGCAGGAGCAATGAGGAACTGCGTAGCAGCTAGGTTTGTCAGGCTGCAAGCAGTACAGAGAGGAGTAGCAGGCTGCTGCGCTCTGGAGTGTATGCGCTGAGCAGAATAGTGCTCGTGGAAAGGGTTACAGTTCTTTAAAACCTCCATTAATTCGTATCTGAATAACATAATATCTGGTAATCACCCTGCTGCTTTGATGTACAGCTGCCATTTTCCCCAACTCACATTACTGGGTTGTTGCACCAGTTATGGCTACTGGCACAGAACGAGACCACGGTCTTTTTTGCAGACTGAGGTAGATCCTTTGCGACTCTTAGGGCTTATATAAACCTTATTTTAATTGCCCAAAGACCTCATCAAAGCCCAACGCACAGGGTTAAGTTGCACCAGTAAGATCAAAATCAAGCACTATATTGCTGGTTTTGTCTTCATCTTAGCAAATGATTGCAACATCATCCCACAGAAAAAGCCCCAAAACCTCTGTCTTTGGCACATATGCTCCCAGTGTGCTCAGTGTATAATAAGGGTGTGTGAGATCATGTCTGCTATTACCTGTGGTACTTTAAGTAAATGCCTGAGGACTTGTTCTGTGTTCCCTGCTGTGACCTATCTTTAAACACGAAGACTTGCTATAGGGAATGGTTTCTAAAAGATATTTATGTCACATTAAGGTCAAAGAACCGATGCTAAAAATGCCGATGAATTTCCTAAAACCGACATATTATTCACAGACACACTAAAGTGTTTGTTGTCTGATTTTGACCTGGTTTTTTTTTAAGATGCAGGATTATAGCAAGTTCTCTCTTCTGTAATACCCCTCTGGTGGTACAAGGCAGGTAGAAACATAGTGCCTATGTCCGTGTCCTAGTACAACAGGGTGCAGAGGAGTCCCAGCACTCTCTCCAAACTTTCCCAAGTACTGGAAGAAGTCTAGCCATGGATTAGTGCTCTACCTGTTCTGACTGAAGTTCTGCCAGTTTTTAGTCCACCTTTTGTGTTACAACATGCCTATAGATATTTACAATTAAACAAGCAAAAGGACGGTACCTCTAATCAGCATCATGGTGCCACTGCTATTCACCGAGAGGAAAGAGGAATTTTTCAGCACCCCAGCACATACATATATATCACTGTCGTTTTTCTGTAGGTTGTGTAGAGTTACCACTATTTTCTTTTCTTGCTTTGAATACTCCAAGCGATTAGCAAAAGCAGGAAAAATAGTTGAAGCATTCTGACTTGAAACGTACAACACTCTCTCAGGTTGCATGTGAGTCTTGAGCAAGAAGATCCCTTCGTCTTCACGGGAGCTTTTCAGTGCACAGGTAATGATGATAGACTGGCCTTGCTGAGGGTTGACATAGAGTGGTGACTGTTCAACAACTCCACTGTTTTTTGCTAAAAACACGAGAGATTAATGGCTACCACATATTTAACACAATGCATTTTCACTAGGGAGCAAACACAGAGGTCAAAGACAGAAAAACCAGACCACAGAAATTTAGATAAAATTGGCTTTTTTAAAGGCTATCTTTATGCGTGCCTTGAGAAGAAAGATGTATGTCAGTACACCCTGGCATGTTTTCCTGCCCCAGGATCTGAAAGTAGAATTGACTGAACAGGTTTACCTGGTTGTAAAGTGTGTCTATCTACCTAAAAAACACACATACTGAACTCTTCTGAGAGAATACAGCTTCATCAGTTTGCCCTTGAGACATGGATCGTTGCCTGCTTTCTCAAGTGAGATTAAGCCGTAGAATGATCTGGGGACTATTGGTCTGTATAAAATCATACAATGTGGGTGCCATCAATGTTGCAAATCATCTTAAAAAAGTAGTTATTAAGAGCTTGCTGTCCAGCTGGGAAGACATTTCACCGAGTTCCTCTGAGGACAGACCCTCTTCCTTTTGACATTATCATTAACATGGATGAGGGAATGAAGACAGAATTTATCACATCTGTACAAAAGATAATTCTGGGAAGGCTGCAAGCATTTTAGAGAAGATGATCAGAATCAAAAAGGTAATTTAATAAAATAATTTGGAAAACCAGTACATAATCAACAAGATGGAATTCATATGAGAAAATACAGTCAAGACATTTGAAAAGAGTAGCCTAAGGAAGGACATGGTAAGTCTTCATAGATATAAATTACTACTACTGACCCAGCAATCAATTTGGTTTTGCATGCCTTGGGGACAGGAAAGGAAGAAAACCCTGTAATTTTTGGTAAAGACGTTTCAGGTTAGATGGACTAATCAGAAGGGTAGGTAGAGGAACAAGATGCCAAAGAATATTGTGGACTCAACCCTCTTCTAATGGGAAAAAAAAAAAAGAAAAAGAAAATAAAAGACAGAAAAACACTTCGTCTAACTAAGAGTGCCAAAAGGGGCCCTTGTGCCCATTCGTGAACTGTTTGTTACGAAAACACCCACATCCCTTTACTCTGTGATGCCCAACCGGCAAACCCTGCCTAGCACCAGTTTTTATCAATTTGTCATTTAAGATGAAATAGTAAAAACAAAAGAGATTTGCAAAAACCGCTACCAAAAAAAGGCTCATTGCTTTCCTAGTTATTCATAAAGATTTGACTGACTGTTATGGAAAGAGCTATGGGTCCTCACTGTTTCCAAACTGCTGCAGCAACCTATGACTCATGTGAAAATCTGCAGCTAGGATTAAATTAGTCATGAATGGCTGTTCTAGCGGTTTGCTCGGTACTGTTCTGTCTAATATGTTTTCTTCATCTTTTCAGGGAACAGACCCACACTTTCCTTCAAATCAGTACGTTACCTGAGCAGACATGGCTAAAGTTCTGTCAGACTCTCTCTCCCATTATGCTTTCTTCCCATTTTTGATTTAAAAAATATAGCTGTATTTATTAATTCATGACATAAAAGGGGGAATTGCAATACCTTTCACCACTACTATGGTTGTCTTCCCGTTCAGCTTTTTGTGATGGCCCTTGTTTTTAATATACTTAGTGCATAGGTAGATATTGGAATCAGATTGCTGTACATTGTGCAGAGTTATCCTGAGATTCCTTCCTTCCTTTGAATACCTGATGCGATTAGCCAAAGCAGGAAGGATATATGAAGTATTGTGCTTGGACACATATATCACATTGGCCGGCTGCATGCTAGTTTCCAAGTACATTCCCACTTCATTTTCTGAACCTTTCATGGAGCAGGTTATGCTGATGGAGTCTCCTTCCCAAACACTGATAATGTCTGTTGACTGTTCATTTTCTCCACCTAAAAATAAGAAATGCAATTGAAATTATAATATCAGAGTTCTTTTTGATCTCTTAATATCAAAGTAGTTTTCAAAAATTACTACTCCATCAACAGAACCGCTCCGTAAGACTGGGCCTTAGTCTCGCAATCCTGTATATATCATCTTTTGGCTGCCCTGAAACCTATAGTGCCTTTCATGTCCATTGACCTGTGCAAGTCAGTGTCTCCCCAAAGTTTAAAAGGCCTGGGCAAAAAAGTGGCTTCTGTCACTCATGCAAAAAACTTAGACTGCTCTGTAGATTCCCAGTATGATCCCATCAGTTCTCAAAATACGAGCTTTACTGAACACAGCCCAATAACTGGAGCTGGTTGAGCGTCTAAATCTGGAATTCAAAAGGTATCAAAAAATGGCAAAGAATGGAAGAAAATGAGGTTTGGTGGGGGTTTGTGTTTTTTTTTTTTTTTTTTTTAGAAAGGAGCTTTTAGCAACCTCAGGAAACTGGATAATGCAGCCTCTTGGGAAGAGAGCTGCAGAAGGTTTAACTCTAGCTTATACTATGAAACAAAGGTGTAAAAATATATGAGACTCTCAGAGTTCTCTAATGACCTGAATATCAAAAGACATTGAACAATAAGTACTTAGGCAATGAATAGCGAGGAACAGAGGGAAATGCCTAAAAGAAATTACATTAAAAGCAAGGAAAGAAAAATTAAATATAGAGCATTGCATACCTAGGACAAACGTTGTATAGAAAGGGTAGAATTATTCAGTGTTGACAAGCAAATTAAGGATCCCTACATACTTAAAACAATTTATTTTAATAAGGGAACAAACACAGAAAAAGCAGATCATGGAAATTTAGATACAGCAGGTCGATCCAATCTGACCAGACACAAAGACATTCCTTCTACATCACTTAGAGAAGAAATTAAGGCAACCCAGGAGTTGTCAGCAATTACCTTCCAAAGCAGCAAAGGTGATGGAGAAGGCTGGAGAAATGCCGAGCACTCAGCCTTTACCGGCAGGTAAGGAAAGCCTGGGAAATTCATCTCCATCAGCCTAAAATCAGTATTTCTAAGCTGACTCACACTTAACACGATCTAAGAACCAGGCAGCTAATGGCAAGCAGCTGCAGCGCATCAATTGTTTTCTCCAAAAGATCAGGGTAGAAGTTCAAGAGTGAAATTATATTTGCAGAAATCAGTATTGACTCCTCAACAACCACTAAACTAAAGAATGGCAAAGGCACTCAAATATTCTCACCAGTTTCACTGCATCATCCTTTCAGACACGCTGATTTATGGATGATATTTTTTTCTCAAGTCACCATCCTTTCCAGTTATTGTCAATGGTCATGGGGGAAAAAAGGGCTGACTGTTTGGAGACATCGTTTTCCTCAGGCTGTTCTCCTCAGAGATTCACACCGTTTTCCCCAAGCGTGCCTCCAAGCTTGTACTCTTAATAGCTACAATATTCAGTAATGAATATTTCTCGCAAGGTTTTATTATGCCTTCAATAACTATGTCCTTAGTAAATATCAATATTAATTTCTATCCAGTAGTGGGCTCCCCCCGTCCACCTTAACAATACAGTTACAGTTTATGTTGAAATACTAGGAAAGCAACTTCCACTCTTTCTACAGAGAGTAATTTCTACGTACAAAAGTTCTGATCACAATAATTTTTCATCTTCTTTTCTAAAAACTCATTCTATAATTTCAGAGAATGTTTTTCAAAGTTCCACCTGGTTTTTCTAATGATGAATTTGCCAGGAACCTGTTTGAGACAACAGAGTAAGGGGAAAGGGGAAAAAAAAAAGGAAATAAAATATTGAGACTTATGAAACGTAAGAGCGTCTACATTATACATACCGTTCTGTCCAGGGAAGCACAGAAGAAGCAGAAGAAAGAAAGATGCAGCTGGGAGACGGGACATCCACAGCATTTTCAAAGGTCTTTTTAGTTGTTCTCTACTATCTGACTGACGAGTTAAAGACCTGAAGAAAGGGCTGTTATGCCACAAGTTGGCCTGTTTTCTTCCAGCTACCTCAGCCGTCTACTAAAAGAAGTTAGCAACGTGCTTCTTTTGCCTTAGTACCACAACAAATGTGACACAGAGGGGGAAGAGAGATTTCTCTGAGAGGTGCATCTTGGTTTTGACTTCACACTTAGAACGCCCACGGTTTCCTACTGCTGAA